TTTTCTTGACACGGGCGGGTCTTGCTAGTCACACTCGCCATCGCCATGGGCTGTGAGTCCCATGCCTCCTCATAGCGCAATATAAAACTATCGTCTGGAAAGACGGAAAGGTGACAATGAAGTAACATGTGCAGAAATCTAGACAATTAGGAAGTAATAAAATAACACAACCTTACAAAAAGACAGGAAAGTTGAGCGAAATGTAGACAACGTTTCAAATGGAAGAATAAGAGATTAACAAACAGACATGTCAGAGAGTACCATGACTAGGGCGAGAAACTGTGTTGGACGCACACTTCAGCCAACCTTCACTGTGGAGACGACGCTTGACTTAATTTATCAGCACACATAGTAATATCGGGGCTAAGTAGAAACGGAACAACTGATGTTTCCGCCATGAATATTGTTTGTTAAGGCTTAGTAGTGGAACTGTGGTTTTGAAACGAAACAAAGATCAGAAAAGCGAAAAATGCATGGCAAAGGGAAATAACTTGCAATATAATTTACAGATAAGATCTGTCGTGTATTGTTTCCCATAGATCACGTTTATGCTTGAAGCTGAATGAGCTGATATGTTTTCGTCATCTCAAGTACATCAATCGTCCTAAAATTGTTACTCCTTTCGTCTACTTCTGGCGGGGTGGGGGTTCGAGGGGTGGGTGTCTGCAGTCAAGCAATTTGCTTCTCGGTCAGAGAGTTGTCGGTTTGTTTCAAGGACCGCGCTGTTTTGCATAAATTATCAATCGGCCCACCCTATAAGGCCCAGAGTCTCTAACCCCACAGTTGAAGGGGATTTCAGCCTAGGGGATTCTCATAGCAATAATGGAACACTGCACTTAGCGCCATCCAGTGTTAATCGTCTAGTGTGCGGTTATATTTGGGTACAGTTTCACGAGTGCAACTCTTACAGAGATACCAAGAGACTGTCGCTGAATCTCCCGAGTCTGTGCTTTGTACGACGCTCACAACATGTGGCTCGTCGTTCCGCTGAGAGAGACAGAACCATCGCAGTTTTCAGCTGTGCACTTTTTGAATCTTTGACAGACTTCATCATGGTGGAGACAACTCAAGATGCTACCTTTGTTAGTCGGAATACTACTTCATCAGGATAACCTGTATGCTTCATCACAGTGGAAACAATGACGGAAGCTCCCTTAGTCGGATAAGTATCACTTTAGGAATTTCCTCTCGGATACAGAAATATGCCTTAGTCTTACAGTACAGACAATGGTAGATGTTCGCTTACCTGGACTTTCCATATGCTTCATAAAAGTACAGACAATGGTAGATGTTCCCTTAACCTGTCTGTCCAAATGTTTCATCATAGTGCAGACAGTGGTAGATGTTCGCTTAACCTGTCTGTCCAAATGCTTCATCATAGTGCAGACAGTGGTAGATGTTCGCTTAACCTGTCTGTCCAAATGCTTCATCATAGTGCAGACAATGGTAGATGTTCCCTTAACCTGTCTGTCCAAATGCTTCATCATAGTGCAGACAATGGTAGATGTTCCCTTAACCTGTCTGTCCAAATGCTTCATCATAGTGCAGACGATGGTAGATGTTCCCTTAACCTGTCTGTCCAAATGCTTCATCATAGTGCAGATAATGGTAGATGTTCCCTTAACCTGTCTGTCCAAATGCTTCATCATAGTGCAGACGATGGTAGATGTTCCCTTAACCTGTGTCCAAATGCTTCATCATAGTGCAGACAATGGTAGATGTTCCCTTAACCTGTCTGTCTAAATGCTTCATCATAGTGCAGATGATGGTAGATGTTCCCTTAACCTGTGTCCAAATGCTTCATCATAGTGCAGATGATGGTAGATGTTCCCTTAACCTGTGTCCAAATGCTTCATCATAGTGCAGATGATGGTAGATGTTCCCTTGACCAGTCTGTCCAAATGCTTCATCATAGTGCAGACAATGGTAGATGTTCCCTTGACCAGTCTGTCCAAATGCTTCATCATAGTGCAGACAATGGTAAATGTTCCCTTGACCAGTCTGTCCAAATGCTTCATTAGAGTGCAGATAATGGTAGATGTTTGCTTAGCGTGTCTGTTTATATGTTTCATTATAGTGCTGACAGTGGTAGATGTTCCCTTGCCCGGACTTACCATTTGCTTCATAACAGTACAGACAATGGTAGATGTTCCCTTGCCCGGACTTACCATTTGCTTCATAACAGTACAGACAATGGTAGATGTTCCCTTACCCGGACTTACCATTTGCATCATAACAGTACAGACAATGATAGATGTTCCCTTACCCGGACTCTCCATATGCTTCATAACAGTACAGACAATGGTAGATGTTCCCTTAACCTGTCTGTCCAAATGCTTCATCATACTGCAGTGGTAGATGTATCCTCTTCATATGCTTAATTGGATAGCAGACAATGGTAGATGTCTTCTTGCATGTGTGTTTATCTATTGTTGAACGAACTATATATCATTTGTGTGCAGTTGGTTGTTCCTTGCCATTTAGAATGTGTTGCCAGGGCGTGAGTTTTGCCTGTACATCCATTTTACTAGCTCATTTGTGTGCAGTTGGTTGTTCCTTGCCATTTAGAATGTGTTGCCAGGGCCTGAGTTTTGCCTGTACATCCATTTTACTAGCTCATTTGTGTGCAGTTGGTTGTTCCTTGCCATTTAGAATTTGTTGCCAGGGCCTGAGTTTTGCCTGTACATCCATTTTACTAGCTAATTTGTGTGCAGTTGGTTGCCCCTTGCCAGATCCACTCTGACTTGGAAGGAAGCTCTCAGTTAGTCAACTGTTATGTCATGAATTTGTTGGGTAGGCGGTGGGTCTATTCTTGTTTTCCCCCCAATGAGACCCACATGGGAATAACTATTTAAAAAAGGCTCTCACTCTATGGAAAAAGTAGCCGCAGGCAGTGTGTACTAAAAGGAACTAACAAAAATCACAAAGAATAAGAATTTCTACACAGCCAGCAATGCACACAAAAAAAGATGATCTTATTTTGATAAAATAAAATGCCATCATACACTAATCAAAACAATCAACATACAGTGATGACAAAACATGATTCAAATAAAAACACTCAAAAGCCATGAGGTCTTTGTATTCCATGTATTAAATTCACATTCATCACATTCATAAAGGTGTTAAATACATAGGCCTCACACAGATAAATATGAGCAGCCTGGAAAAATCACTTCTCTAACTAGGGAAATCACAATAACCTATCTTCCATGTTCTAAGAGGCAACTATGAATGATTAGTATGAGACTCTGAGGACTCAGTCTGTCCTTGTGGGCAGGCACCGAAAATACTGAAACTCTGCTACAAACATGCTCTCTACAGGCAGAGTAGGGAGATCCCAGGCTTGGCAAGTTAGCATTTTAGTGGAAACCAAACTTTGTGGATCAGTGGAGGACATGTGTCCCCTGTGTCCCACCACAGATTTCACTGGCCTGTAGCCTTCTCATCTGAAAACCACTAGCAGTGAGAATGAGAAGAATCAGACTGGTGATCTTGTAGAAAACTAGTGCACACAAAATTCTAGTCCTGGAACGAGACTAAAGTCCAGAAGTGGGGAAAAAAAAAACAGTCCATCGTAATCTACAGCCAGTGAACCCGAAGAGGAAGACAAAAATCAACCCAACAGAAAGAAGTCCCAAACATACATTTAACACCATTATTTATTTCAAAGTGAAAACAACATGGTGAAATATATTGTTATGCCTGTGGATCACATCTTTTTTAACTTAGCAAATGCAGTAGCATGAGACAGAACACAGATATTAGTACAAACAAATCAATGCTAACGGATTACAATGTCACCCAATATGAGAATAACATATCTACATAAATGAGGGAATTCAAAAATTCATTATGGAAAACAGACTACTTCAGAAATTACATCACTGTTATTAGTCTCTGACACAGAGCTAAGCTGTAGTCACAGCCTTATGGCTCTAATGGAGTTTAACAAGACAGTAATGGGTGATGCACATATAAATACATTTGTTAACAAATACTATCATATGTTTCTCTAGTATATGTCATATTTCATAAACACTTTCATTCTCTTTCATCATGAATTCAAGGAGCAATGAAGAGAGAGGAGTCAAAACAGGTAGTATTTTAGAAGCTTGACAGCGTGAGATATGCAAAGAAATAAACAACTAATGAATGAGTCAGCAGAATACAATCAAGTGATAATTGCAATCTCTCTCACAGAAACAAAAGCAACAAATTATCATCTGTATTATCTAAACCTCTACAAAATCAAACAGAAAGACACAATGACATACAACAACAAGTCATCAACCATCTTCTGGCAATCAACATCACAGCAACCAATTCTCTCCACATGTATAACCTCCGATTAAACCACATTCCCAAGTAAAATCATCTATTCGTATTTCTTCTGAAAGAATTTTCAAGACCACTCAGGTTTTTTTAGTCCTAAATTCACTGTGAATTAAATTGGGGGTAGGGGTATGTTGTATCAAGAATGTTGTATCAGGTGACTAAAGGTTTGCTGAAATTGGATGTACTGGGCGAAAAGACGCAAATATTGCAGCCCAGCTGTACACCACAACAAAACGTATCAACTGCCCTTTAGAGGGGGAATACAGAAGAGGAGGAAGTTCCAAACAAGCAAACAAACCTGTTCTGTTTGCTTACAGATACTAATAAACAAATAAATGAATAGTTATATGATATACAGTACATTATTTAATACGCTTTAATACTCCCCAATGATGCTTCATTACTATCAGATTCATACATTCTATATCAACACGATAAATACGTCAGCCCCAGTTTCTGTCAAATGCTTTCGTGACGGTTCCTAGAACTCCCTCAGACAATGTGTCATTTCCCGTGACAGTTCCTAGAACTCCCTCAGACAATGTGTCATTTTCCAGATCAAACGTCACACAAAAGATGACAAAAACCTGCAACTGTGCCCTACGAAACAAATCTATCTGCAGTTAAAGTCACGTGTTCATGATGTGGAGCTGTCACTGGAACTAAAACTTGCCACTCTGTTTCATTGCCTGCAAACACAAAGAAGAAGAATGGAAAATCTTTAAACCCAAACAGGTATTTTGTAGACTAACTTATCCCCATGAAGACTGTCACTTCCTGGATAAGTGGCCAGTCTGTTAAACCCTTGTTTCTGTTCTCGATTTGCTAATGAATTTTTTCACATATAGACTGGAGTCCATAGTTTCCCTTCCAGCTACTGAGTGAGGTTTTGTATATGTTTATTTGATGGATCAACATCATGGCACAGGGGTGTAACCCATAAGTGCTCAGTTCTACTGCTAATTGAAGCCTGAGTCTGAAGAATCTCAGTGCAGTGCACGAACTCCGTTGCACCGGCAAGGATCCTGAAATACTTTGGGTTTTTATCTCCAAATTTTTGCCCAGGCAGCACAGCTAGGCTACCTCTTCTTCTTCTTCACGTTCACCAGCTGTACACTCTGGCGGAAAGTTCTGGTTGTTCGTCCACTACTGAACTGCAGTCCTGCTCCAGAACCTGAGTGTTGCGTGTGCATCAGTTTTACAGATCTCATTCTCTTGAATACAGACTGTTGGTTCCTTGCCTCTCCGGCAGATACACTCCGACTTCAAAGGAAGCTCCCCAATTAGTCGACTCTTACGACATGCTTTTGGGGAGGCAGTGGGTCTATTCTTGTTTTCCCCACAATGGGGCCCCGGATCCCACACAGGGGAGCTAGGCTACTTTTTTCGATGTCCAACTGCCAAGGGATTTTTACGTGTGCAAGAATACGTACGGACATCCGATCTTACTACCCAGAGACCAATGTGGCAGGATACGGACAGACAGATCTGTTTTATTTTCTTCCCACGTCACGATTTATGAACTGTGCATCTCTTCGGACTATTATTTCCGAAAATCCCTGGTAGTTAAAGCTATTATATTACATACATATAACAGGTTCTCCAACGGAGTCAACTCACTTCTAGCATTGTAAGTCCTAACTTTGCAGGGGACATGGTCACATGAACACCGGCTGCTTTCAGTGCAGCAATCTTCTCCTCAGCTCCCCCCTTGCCACCAGCAATAATGGCTCCAGCATGACCCATTCTTCTGCCAGGAGGGGCTGTAAGTCCAGCAATGAAAGACACCACAGGCTTTGCCTTAGGTCCCTGTGAACAGAATTAACGGAGCTTTATTGAAAACCTTTGTAACATAAACGGCAAATGGTCAATGAGCATATATATTAGTCGTCTTCTTTTTCTTCGCATTCACTTGCTTCAAACTCTGACCGAAAGTTATTTATATTCATCCAGCTGTGGACTTTAGTCTTGTTCAAGAACTTGAGTGCAGCGTACACATCTGTTTTACAGATATGGCTTATTAGTATACAGACTGTTGGTTTCATGCCTCTCAGGCAGATGCACTGCAACTTCGAAGGAAACCCCTAACTGGCCAACTCTCACGACATGCCTGTTAGGGAGTCATGGGTCTAGTTTTTGTGTTCCCCACAATAGTACCCAGGAACTCACAAGGGGAGAGCAATATACTGTAAATGTCATATGTCTAGATGTGGGTGCACTAAAGATACTTTTTATACCGCACTGTATAAACATTTTCCTTCAAAGAAATATATTGTGCACAAAATGTATCTAGGACCAGATGCACTCTAGGCAAAACAACAAAGCTGTACAATTACAAAACATTTTTTAATCTTAAACATGCATCTACTAAGGAGCAAATTTAACAAAGGGCAAGAACATTGTGCAATTGCTTAGATTTTTGTTTACGTTAAATTCTTTTCTATCTACCCCCTCCCCATAACATTACTTTGAAGTACAATTAACTTGCAGGAAATAAGGTACAGTAGTCCTAAGGATCTGCACTGAAGAAACTGATTCTAAAAGAGCTCTGGGAGTAAAATAGTTGGCAGCCACTGCACTAAACAAATGTGGGCAGGATGCATCCAACAATTCTGTAGACCTGCCCACTCTACATACAACTTCGAAAAGACACCTGGCCTCAAGAGCAAAGTGTGCAGAGAAACCATGAAGGACCTGTTACTGACATACCAGTTCATAAAGGCAACCCACCTGATGGTCTGATCTGAGCATACGAAACCGAACGCAAAGAACAAGAAGAAGAAGAAGAACATCTAACAATAACTGGTCTTTGCATTCACCAGCTGTAAACTGTGGCCCAAAGTTCTGGTTTTTGTCCACCTCTGTTCATCTTGTTGCAGAACCCCAGTGTTGTGTGCACATACATTATTTTTAATGCCCCCCCCCCCCCCCCACAACGGAGCCCTGGAACCCACACAGGGATAACTGGTCCTGAAACATAAGCTTATACTCTACCACCCGTACACTTGAACAATATCTTGCTTGTGATTTAAACTTTACGAGCTGCAGTCGCATAGTGGCTAGACACTCACTCACTCATCTCCCAACAGATCAAGGGTTCAAATCCCCACCAAGGCTTTCTCAAAACTCTCCTTGGCTGCCAGGCTAATTAGCCTCGACTAAAATTGTGGGCAATGTCCCGGACAACATCACCCACCAAGTGCTGGCTTGTTTATCAAATATAGGTCTAGTACCATAGACCTGCCATGCCAACATCACCCTCCAAGTGCTGGCTTGTCTATCAAATATAGGTCTAGTACCATAGACCTGCCATGCCAACATCACCCTCCAAGTGCTGGCTTGTCTATCAAATATAGGTCTAGTACCATAGACCTGCCATGCCAACATCACCCTCCAAGTGCTGGCTTGTCTATCAAATATAGGTCTAGTACCATAGACCTGCCATGCCAACATCACCCTCCAAGTGCTGGCTTGTCTATCAAATATAGGTCTAGTACCATAGACCTGCCATGCCAACATCACCCTCCAAGTGCTGGCTTGTCTATCAAATATAGGTCTAGTACCATAGACCTGCCATGCCAACATCACCCACCAAGTGCTGGCTTGTCTATCAAATATAGGTCTAGTACCATAGACCTGCCATGCCAACATCACCCACCAAGTGCTGGCTTGTCTATCAAATATAGGTCTAGTACTATAGACCTGCCATGCCAACGCTACTGTTTGAAGTTTCAAACAACGGATCAACAAACTTCATGGCACACAGGTAATAACCCATAAGTGCTCCATCCTTCTAACTCAAGTCTGAGTCTGAAGAAGCTCAGCACAGTGCACACACAGGCGCTGTAACACCGGCGAGGATCCTGAAATACTCTGGGTAGATTTTTAGCTCCAAATTTTGCCAGGGCAGCGCCGTTAGGTTACTCCTTTCAATTTCCAACTGCCAAGGGATTTTTTACATGTGCAACAATGCATACAGGCGCCCGATCTCACTACCCAGGGACCAGGGAAAAATACTAGAAGTCCAAGACCATGTGAAAAAATCCAAGCCCTTACCAGGGATTGAACCAGGAACCTCTAGCATTCAAGGCTGACACCATGCCTCGAGACCACACAGGCCCCCCCCCCCCCCCAAAGCTACTAAAAGGATAAATTTCATTAAAATTTTAGTTCCCTCTATTTTCTGTAAGATACAAGGTTTTAGCTTATCACCTTTGACAAGGCACAAACAGTGAACAACAAAGTCAGGGTCATTGATTTGCTACTATCTGAAAAGATAAACTCATTAACAAGTAACATTTCAATGCAGCAACAAAACACTGTTTTTTTTCCTCATTCTACTTTATACAAATTGTCATGCTCTACTTCTCACTGTGTTATTTTGCAGCAAGTATTCAGCTGCATTTTCTTCTGCTTGTCCTCCGATTTCACCTATCAAGACAATACCTGCAGATACAAATAAACACACAAAAATTATCACCCTTCTAGAAGATACAACAATGTAACTTTTTTTTAAACGCAAACAACAAGTGTCTTTTTACTTTACTCACTATATCTTCTTTGCATTCACGGGCAGTAAACTTCCGTAGAAGTTCTGGTTGTTCGCCCACCTCTGGACTGTAGTATTGTTCCAGAACCTGAGAGTTGTATGCACATCCATTTCACTTATCTGACATATTTGTATGCAGACTGTCGGTTTCCCGGCCTCTCAGGCAGATGCACTTTTACTTCGAAGGAAACCCCTATTTAGTCGACTCTTACGACATGCTTGTTGGGGAAGGCAGTGGATCTATTCTCGTTTTCTCCACAATGGGACCCGGGAGCCACATCAGGAGCTTACTATATCATGCAGTGCCCCATACATCAATTATTATTTCAGGCATCACACTTTTAATTGTGTTTCTATAACATACAACTATTGCTCTGTAGAAGTATGTAGGTAATGTGTCAGTTTTTTGGGGTGCTGGTTTTGACACCAGTTTACTGGCAGACAGGGAATGCAGAAACAAAATATCATCGGTAACCGGGTTGCCCACTGACTTGCTGGTAGATGACTTCATCGCCGGTCGGGACAGTATTTGGGTCTGTCTCCTTTGAACTCATCAACACTGCAGGAGTCCTTTTCATGGCTCTTGGTGGCGAGCAACACTAAGCCATTTTATATGGCACATGTAACCTAGTCACAATTATAACCTAAAACTTTCCCTTCAGGGATGCTGGTTGAACACGACAATTTTTTTTTGTTGAGCAAAGCACCTACCTACGTAGAAATAAAAACTGTATACTGAATGCCCTATGAGAAGTAAAAGTAAAATTATCAGACCCCGCCTCCCCCACAAAGTGATGACTGACAATCTGTAACCATGATGAGACTGCAAGAACAACACAATTTTTTTTTTAAAAGGGAGGGGGGGGGCAGACAAGAGAACTAAGCAGGGTGCATGTAGAGCGACACTGCGGTCAGCTGTTGCACAGAGGGATACAAATAACTCAGAAAGCTTTTATGGGCTCTATGGTTCTTGGAGTGCTGTAAGGATGATCTGTCAATCAATATAAAAGACTTCCTATGGCATTCATCGGCTGTAAACTCCAGCAGAAAGTTATCATTGTTCGTCCGCCTCTGGACATCAGTCTTGTTCCAGAACCATTCAACAGAAAAGAAACATGGGTTTAATGGAGGGAGAAAGTCCACTGTGGCTACCTGGTTACGCCGTCTGCCTTGCGCTCTGAAGGTCATGTGATTGGTTCATGGGTGAAATTTTCAAGGAAACACTTGAGAATTGTCAATGGAGCTAAGGAGTTCAGGCTTTGAACTTAGTGCTAGCTAGTATGCAGAAAAAGACTGAGCCATACAGGGGTAATGAAATAAATCCTCTTGACTTTTTAGAATGTCGACTAACAAACCAACAATTAATAAAAACAGACAGCATAATTTTTTGCACACACAAAAAAAAAGATAATATCTGTATTCAATAATGAATTACTAGAGAGGCATGACAAGAAAACAAATACCGTACCTTCAGTTTGTGGGTCACTCAAAAAGACTTCAAGGCAATCAACAAAGTTTGTCCCATTAAAGGGATCACCACCAATGCCAATGCACAAGGACTGTCCTAACCCAACCTGTGTTGTCTGGTGAACAGCTTCATAAGTCAAAGTCCCTGATCTTGACACAATTCCTGCAAATAAAATACATGATGATCTCATACCGCTTTGCATTTCAATAATGGTATAAAGAACCACTGTTCTGAAAGTAGTGGCAAACTGCCTAGTAAAACCATAAGCAGCCAAAAAAGATTTACAAATAAATTTTTTTGTAAATTTGTTTTTTTTTTAAAAATAATTTTACATACACTAATATTCTTATATAAACGTCATTCATCCAGAGTAGGACACAAATGCTACTGTAACTGTGTCTGTTTACCTGGAAACTGTAACTGTGTCTGTTTACCTGGAAACTGTAACTGTGTCTGTTTACCGGGAAACTGTAACTGTGTCTGTTTACCGGGAAACTGTAACTGTGTCTGTTTACTGAGAAACTGTAACTGTGTCTGTTTACTGAGAAACTGTAACTGTGTCTGTTTACTGAGAAACTGTAACTGTGTCTGTTTACTGAGAAACTGTAACTGTGTCTGTTTACCGGGAAACTGTAACTGTCTGTTTACCAGTAAACTGTAACTGTGTCTGTTTACCGGAAAACTGTAACTGTGTCTGTTTACCGGGAAACTGTAACTGTGTCTGTTTACTGGGAAACTGTAACTGGGTCTGTTTACCGGGAAACTGTAACTGTGTCTGTTTACCGGGAAACTGTAACTGTGTCTGTTTACCAGTAAACTGTAGCTGTGTCTGTTTACCGGGAAACTGTAACTGTGTCTGTTTACCGGGAAACTGTAACTGTGTCTGTTTACCGGGAAATTGTAACTGTGTCTGTTTACCGGGAAACTGTAACTGTGTCTGTTTACCGGGAAACTGTAACTGTGTCTGTTTACCGGGAAACTGTAACTGTGTCTGTTTACCGGGAAACTGTAACTGTGTCTGTTTACCAGGAAACTGTAACTGTGTCTGTTTACCGGTAAACTGTAACTGTGTGTGTTACCGGTAAACTGTAATTGTGTGTCTGTGTACCAGGAAACTGTAACTGTGTCTGTTTACCGAGAAACTGTAACTTTACTGTGTCTGTTTACCGGGAAACTGTAACTGTGTGTGTTACCGGTAAACTGTAATTGTGTGTCTGTGTACCGGGAAACTGTAACTGTGTCTGTGTACTGGGAAACTGTTACTGTGTCTGTTTACCGGGAAACTGTAACTGTGTCTGTTTACCAGGAAACTGTAACTGTGTCTGTTCACCGGTAAACTGTAACTGTCTGTTTACTGAGAAACTGTAACTGTGTCTGTTTACCGAGAAATGTAACTGTGTTCTTTTACCGAGAAATGTTACTGTGTTCTTTTACCGAGAAATGAAACAGTGTCTGTTTACTGAGAAACAATTGTGTCTGTTTACTGAGGAACTGTAACTGTCTGTTTATTGAGAAACTGTACTTGTGTCTATTTGCCGAGAAATGTAACTGATTCTGTTTACCGAGAAACTGTAACTGTGTCTGTTTCCAAGAAATGTAACTGTGTCTGTTTACTGAGAAACTGTAACTGTGTCTGTTTCCAGATAAACTGTAACTGTCTATTTACCGAGAAATGTAACTGTGTCTGTTTATCGAGAAATTGTAACTGTATGTTTACCTGGAAACTGTAACTGTCTGTTTACCGAGAAATGGAACTGATTCTGTTTACCAAGAAACTGTAACTGTGTCTGTTTAACAAGAAATTTAACTGTGTCTGTTTACTGAGAAACTGTAACTGTGTCTGTTTAACAAGAAATTTAACTGTGTCTGTTTATTGAGAAACTGTAACTGTGTCCGTTTACCACCAAACTGTAACTGTCTGTTTACCGGGAAACTGTACTTGTCTGTTTACAGAGAAATTTTACTTTCTTTAAATCGAGAAACTGTAATTTTGTCTGTTTACCGGAAAACTGTAACTGTGTGTTTACCACCAAACTGTAACTGTCTGTTTACCACCAAACTAACTAACTGTTTACCAAGAAACTGTAACTGTCTGTTTACCTGGAAACTATATCTGTTTACCACTAAACTGTTACTGTCTGTTTA